AAGTTTTGGAAAAAAATCCTCTGATCGAAACCTCAGACCCCAAAGTGTAGCTGTAAACTGCCTAAAATGAAAGTGTGTGTTGCTGTAACGTGCGTCGAGCGCCACAGACGACAACACATGGAGTCAGAAATAGTTTTATGAGCATTTGAACTGTATTCTCAGCGCGTTCGTTTACAATCTGCACATGTGATGCAAGCCATTGTCAAGGACATTTAGTGAGGCATTGAAGAACAGAAATAGAGACCCAAGAGAAAAGCATTGCATTGTGGGAGACAGTATTGGTTTTTCCTCGCTGCATTCCTTCAGCTGTAAACATGCTCCGCTGCAATGGCTTATGGGTAATATAGGGGGAAGGAGCTAGCATGCACTATGATTTGGGGCGCTAATTCTAATCAACAATTCGGGATGGAAATTGCGTGAATTAGACTAGTTTTCAAGACGTAAACAGGCAACGTGTTCTGGCAATGTTTCCTCAACGTTATGAACAAATAAAACGTTCGTTCAAAGTTATCTGGTCTTTAATAACGTTCTCTAAATGTTAGCACAAAAACATTTATTTGAATGTTCGCCTAACGTTTTTAAAAAAATGTTTCTATTTGTTTCAAAACGTTAAGAAAACATTTGAAAGTACCGTTTGAAGGATGATAAAACCGGAATGTTTGCGCAACGATTCGTTAGCAAGAAAGAATTCCTTTTTAAACGCTTTGTGAAACGTTTATAACATTTGCAAAACATATTTTTGTTCGCGTTTAGTCTGATTTAGCTCATGTATTAGGTTTCATGTGTACTTGACTCTAGAGTTTGAATTTCTGTGTAATGACAAATTGGGTCCCCCTCAAAATTGGGTCTCTTTTCGGACCCCAAGCAATAGGTTAAAATTGCTTTTAAGGTACTCTTTTTAGCGCCTGATTTAAATTCCTCCAAAATCCTGTTTGATAAATAGATTCGACTACATTATAACGACCATTTATGTCTGTAGCTTAGCCTGCTTCTAGCAATAAGCAATTAGCCTGATAGCTTAGTTTACACACATTTGCAATATTCTCAATCATCTTTAATGTAATTTTGAATTAAATTAACGTTAAATATCCTCCAATTTCAGTTACAAATAAAACAAATGAATGATGTTCAATTATTCATGTTAATCAAGTGTAAGAATTATGTTTAATTGGTTTATTATGCACTAATGTGTTTTCGCACGCATACCTGTGGTTATTTTAAATTAATATAATTCATATAGGCTACTTAGGATAGTCATTAATTGACAGTTTAGGGAGACCAGATTTGTCATGACACGTAGGCTACGGGTGTTTTCTGCGTTTGACAATTAGCTAACGTTGCTAATCTGCCTAGCTGCATAGCTTCCTCAGTCACAGTTTAGCGCCTTTTTTTACTTTATCATGTGTGAAGGATTCTCCGAACTGAAGAGACAGATTCATTCTCTGTCATAACTCATCGGTTTATAAGAGAAAATGCGGATTTAAAGCCCAGAGTCGCGGGCCAGCAGCAGTTAAACTGGATTTACATTTGTGCTAAACAATCCTTCGATGACGACGACCGTTAAACACTTCGGCAGCCTTTTATAAAAATGTGAATTATGCTGTCATCATCTTACGACATCTCATTCTTTATCTCATGTGGATGCTTTGCAAAACACGTTATCGTTATTTCTCTGCCAGACACTTGTAAAATAGCTCGTATAAAATGGCCGGCCGTAACGCATCCAAGTCACACTGTATGAGATCACAGTCGTAAAGAAGCAGTGTTTACTAGTTTAACTTCTACTATTATTCGCTCATCCTGAAGGAATCCGTGTTTCCTCGTGGATTGGAGAACCGAGCGCGTGAACTTCCATCCAACCCGGAGTTTCAGCTGAGATCTGTCATATCTGGAAGCTCATTTCCACCAGAAAAAAAAATGATTCGGTAAATCTTAATAATGACATATAAAATACAAATTATGACGTTAGTAAAAGTAGTAAAACGTAAAACATAGTAAAACGTTTAACTTTGTCATTTTTATAAAGTGAAATTATGACATGGCATCCTAGATTAAAAAGTAGAGACAAAACAGTCATAATTATGAAGTTTCATAAATTCAATGTTTTATCAATTTTGAATCCCCCTTTTTATGTCGCACTTAAAGGGATTCACCCAAAAATGAAGAGTAGCCTCATTCCCTCACCCTCAAGCCATCAGATATGTGACTTTATTCTGTCAGCCAAACACAATCTGAGTTAAGAATATCCTGGCTCTCCCAGCTTTATAATGGGATTGAGCAGAGCCTGCGATTTTGAAGACCAAAAAAATAAAAGTAATCTATACAGGGTTAAAGGTTTTATGAAGTGATGTGTTTGTGTAAGAAAAATATCCTCATTTATAAACTATAATCACTGGCTTCCGGACTGAGTTTCGGCGGAAGAGTGACTTATAGGCTAAAGTTAAAAATATGGATTTTTCTTTTTTTTTTTTTTTAGACTTTTTAAGTCAAAAATTATAACTGATTTAGTGTGTCATTTTGTCTTTTCATCATGAGACATAATTTAGAATATTTGTCATATTCATGGTTTACAAAAGCATTTTTTTTTCTTAAATTGTGGAAATGGTCTACCATAGAAATCTGTCATCATCTGTCTCAGATCTGCCGTAGTTTATGTTCTTGTGATCTTGTTCTGGCCGATGGATCCGTCAGAGTGACTCAGGACTTTTAGTGAGCCATGATCCCTTTAACACTGTGTATTTGTAATGATTTGGTTGTTTGTTAAATAAAGCAGCTTGTGAATGGATCTGTGATGTGTGTGTTTTGTTCTTATTTTAATGAGTCCTGGTGATTTGATTTTATATATTGAAAGGTTAATATAGGTTTATATATTGAAATTAAACATTTTAAGTGTTGCCAGTGTCCAAATATATGTTGATAGCTAGAAAGAAAGATTCATTTAAAATCCAGTAATCGCAATTTACTTTAAAATGTAACTCATAATGTTGAATTCAGATACTTGATTAAAAAAATACATTGTCAAATTGCAAAAATCTCGCCGTCTACTTTCTCTTATTTTTGTGATCCGTTTTTTTAATTTTGATATTTTTTATTTAATCGGTGGTTTTATTCTGTATAAGCGAACCATGTTTATTACGTCATCAGCGCGCGCCAAATTCAACATGGCGGCCGTTGTTTAGTTGTTTTTAATCTGCGGTTCCGAATCCCAAACCCAAAACCATTGAATCCGACAGTCTTTCTCGTCTTCATCCACCATGAGCGATGAGAAGGAACCCGAGGGCCGTAATTTCTTCATGGGTTATGATGATCTGAGCGACAGCAGCAGTGACTCGGACAGTCATGAGTCCAGTAAGAAGAGCCGCGTCGAGCCGGAACCGTCCGGATCCTCGAACCCGCAGAGCCGCAAGCGAGCCGCCGAGCCGCTGCCGAACCCCGACGACCTGTTCCGGTCCGTCAGCAGACCCGCGTTCCTCTACAACCCGCTCAATAAACTCATCGACTGGGACAGGAGAACCGTCAAAGCGCCGGAAGAGGTCAGTGTGAACCCCAGCAGTAACTCATTACATCACTTTAAGAGGTTTATTATATATATATATAGTGTGTGTGTGACAATAATGTAATGCACTAACAGGTGTGTGTGTGTGTTTCAATTTTTTTTACAACGGCTGTGAACGACGCTCAATCAATCAGAATCAAGGACCGGAACTTTCAGCTTTATAATAAATGTTAAACTTGATGTCCCAAAATAAGCAAGCCAAGCCAGTGTCAGCAGAGGCGGACCTCGACTCAGTCTCACTGCTCCTAGTGTATGATTATGATTCAGCCAGCATTACAGGTCAGAGGTCAGATTGGATTTGGACAGTCAGAATATCCGCTAATTCAGATTAAAAAATAAATAATATTAAAGCCGCTCGTGAACCGATCATCTCTTCTAGTTCAGTTATTTACAGCATCAAATAAACACGAATGTTGTTTTAAACGCAGAGCGACGTCAGTACTCCGTTTCTCGTTTACGAACTCTCCTGACCGCTGTGTCGTTTGGCGGATTCTGATTGGTCAGCTCGCCTGTCAATCAAACTTTCTGTGATGGTGGATTGGAGAGTTTCTCTCGAGTTTGAGAACACTGTGTGTTCACTGTGTGTGTTTGTGTGTTTCAGCCGGTGAAGGAGTTCAAGCTGTGGAAGAACAGCGCGGTTCCCCCGCCGCACTCGTACGAGACGGAGGAGAAGAAGAAAGCTCCCGCCGGGATGGACATGGCCATTAAATGGTCGAATGTTTACGAGGACAACGGAGACGACGCCCCTAAACCTCCCGGAGGCCATGCCCACTTCCTGCCCGAGGGGGAGGAGCCACAGCAGCCCGACTCTGGTAATGACAAACTCTACTACTTATCTATCTATCCATCTATCTATCTATCTATCTGTCTATATATCTACATATTCATCTATCCATCTGTCTATCCGTCCATCCATCTATCTATCTAACTATCTTTCTATCTATCTATCTATCTATCTATCTATCTATCTATCTATCTATCTATCTATCTATCTACCTATCCATCTATCCGTCTATCTGTCTATATATCTACATATTCATCTATCCATCTGTCTATCCGTCCATCCATCTATCTATCTATCTATCTATCTATCTATCTATCTATCTATCTATCTATCTATCTATCTATCTATCTATCTATCTATCTATCTGTCTGTCTGTCTGTCTGTCTATATATCTATATATTCATCCATCCATCTATCTATCTATCCATCTATCTATCTGTCCGTCCGTCCGTCTGTCCATCTATCTATCTATCTATCTATCTATCTATCTATCTATCTATCTATCTATCTATCTATCTATCTATATCTATCTATCTATCTATCTATCTATCTATCAGTCTATCTATCTATCTATCTATCTATCTATCTATCTATCTATCTATCTGTCTATATATCTGTCTATATATCTATATATTCATCCATCCATCTATCTATCTATCT